TGTTGTTGTTGTGGTTGCGGCATTTGTTGTGTAGGATCTTGTTGGTTTATATATTGAGCTTGTTGATACTGTTGTTGTGGAACTTGAGATCCATATTGAGGCTGTTGATTAGGTGCATATCCGTTTTGATGACCGACGGGGTAAAATTGAGACTGTTGCTGTGCTTGATATACATTTGATTGTTGGTCTGTAGACTGATTAAATGGGGCTGTAGAATCCATCTGACTTGGTACAGAATAGATTTGTTGCGATGCATTGGGATATCCTATGAAAGTCGAATTTTGTGGTACATAACCTTGTGGTGTGATGTAAGCCGGATTAACTTGATGAGGATTAGCTATTAATTATATGAACAAAATTTAGTCATTTATAATAAACCATTTTTTAAGCAGATAGCAAATTCATATAGCATAAAGTTTACTTACTGTATCTCATAAATGAATCATTCATGAGCTGCTCATAGGTACTAATTGCCTTGACAAATTTTGTATGTAGTTCAATTAAATAATCTAGAAAAAGAATTAAGAGATACATGTTTAACAGTGTATTAAAATCTGATAATTCACCAGTATGATTTAATGTTATACCTTTCTTCTTGGTATATTTCTCTACTAATATCGTCAATTTAGGTCTGATCGGTAATGTCACATTATACAAATTCTGTACACGAAAATGAAATAAATTATAATTAATATATGTGTAATTGCTTTTAACTGCAAAAATATAGAATTCGGATAAAGAAATAACCTGAATGTCATCATTTGTCGTGAAACTATCCTTTTGTGGGTCAAATCCTTCAAGCAACTCTAGAAGACGTTCAATGTTTTTACTCTGAGAAAAAACATTTACTTCCATTTCGAGTTCTTTTTGAATATCTGCTGGTGTTGGCTCAGTTATTTTTTCCTAAATATTCAATTAAACCTTAAACCTTGCCGAATGATCTGTTATTAATTTCAAACTATACTTGCTAGACATTTACTTACCACATAATTCACAGGAAAAATACCAGTTTTGCCACGTAGCTCTCCTTTCCACCAATCCTTATAGACATTATCTATAACATTAATAATATCTCCACAAGAGAATCCGAGTTCATTACTCTCAGTCGGATGAAAGTCATATAATGCTCTAACCCGTGTGACGCTAGGTGCTTGGGAAAGACCCTTGTCCTAAATAGTCAATTAAATTGATGGATTAAAATGAAATAAAATTAGGTATCAATACGAGAAGTAGTAATACATATTACTGTGATAATTATGAAATATTTGATTCAAACCTGGGTGCTCGGATTTGAAGAATGCAAAGATTTCACCTTTAGGTTTAAAAGTATTAAATTAAATAAATTTTTAGAGAATATTAATTTACCAATTTTAAAAAAATTTTCATACTGATTGAGTGGGTTTTTTATCTGAATTTTCTGCCAATGAAAGTTTCAATGCCAATTTGTAGTCATCATCTTCTTTTTTTCTTCGCTTATCGGCTTCGACCTATTATAATATAAATTGTTAATTCTAGATATTAAATATTTCGTGGTTTGTATAAGATTACGATTGCTTACTTCACTTGGGTCTTTCTGAGGTTTCTGAGGAGGAAATTGGAAATCTGACGAGCAATCAATTAGAATATTAATATTATTCGATCACATAGTTATACAATGAAAACATTGGTCGTTCTTACTTTGTGCTTGTAACTGCCTACGAGTTTCTTCCATAAGACTTAACGATGGATTTGAACGAAATTCACTGCTCCATTCTTGAATCAGATCAAGTATTCTGTTCTTTACTGCATCGTAAGCATTCTATTTTTTTTAAAAAAAATTTTATATTATATATAGTATTTGCGAAAGCTGTAAACTTAGCTTAGCAATTGATTTAGAATTCAAACCCTATCATTTAAAATTTTTGTAAGAACTGATATAAATGCTCGTGAACAGATTTCCCTATGAAGACTGAGTCCACATTCTTTAACAAGATAATTAGTTAACTATTTTACAAATGAAAAATATTTATGAATCAGATAATATTATTATAAAAATTACTTAATCCTTTCCTTCAAAAAATATAAGATCTAAACTTACTGTTAAAGCGTACAGTTGTACATTGGCGTTTCGGTGAATTAACCGCTTTTGAATGGAAGCGATACACTCTTTAGAGCTATTATTTAACATTAAATGTATTACAATCTCTCTTTGAAGACTGAAACATAAAGTGGATTTCAAGCTCATGAAAAACGTTCATACCCTTGATCTCCAGCTTTAAATACTTTCTCGCATACAGCATTCATCAACGACCAGTCCTCTTTAGTGAGTTTCTCATCGGTCGCAGCGTCTAATTGCAAAGAAATTAAATCGTTAAATCGTAAATACGAAGTGCTAAATATTACGAATGGTCAGCAATAAACTGATACGATATACGTACTGACACATTCGTCAAAAGCGTTTGCATTAAATTTCATCATATTTAAGAAATTTAAGAAATGATTTGAAATGAAGTTTAACAAGAAAACTGTATAGTTTCTATTGCTAGTATATGTCGCTAATTATCTGTTATGCAACCTATAAAGTCATCTGATACTGATCTTGTGGTCGCATATTTTCGCAATTTGAACTTTCTAGAACGATGATTTATAGCCTTTTGACTTTTTTGGGCAAGATTATTTTTAAAGTTAAATCAACATCTAGCACAGCATATACAGATATATATGTGGAAAAAATCATATAAATAAATTTTTTTACTATATTTAAAAGAGGGCAGAAATTCTATATATAGTAAAATAAAGATTACAGAATTACCAGTATCGTTTCATTATTTTTTTTTAGAAAAAAAAAAATATGGAGTTTCTACCAATTGATCTTCCAATAATTGATCTTTCGCCTTTAGAAGATAATAATAAATTAGATCAAAGTAAAGAACTAACAAACATTGCCAATAATATTGATGTAGCTTGTACACGCTATGGAGTTTTCTATGTAACTACATCGTCTTTCCAACTTCGTGATCAAAATCAAATATTTGAATCTTCACGTCAGTTTTTTTCTTTACCTGAAGAAAAAAAGAACACAATTCCTATTAAGCCAGGTGGTTTTACGCGAGGATATATAGGATTAGGACATGAATCAGGTTCTCATCGATTTGAAGTTAAAGAAGCATTTTCATATGGATATGAGTGGAATCCTAATGAACAACCCACAAACTCATTACAAGGACGAAATGAATGGGGAGATTTACAAAAAATTTTAGGAGAGCAATGGCGTAATTCTTTAAATAAATATTATGATAAAATGGTAGCAATTGCAGAATTAGTGGTAAAAAGCTTAGAAATTGCACTTGGAATTGAATTAAAAAGCCACTGTGTAGGGGGAGAAACTATCTCAATCATGAGATTATTTAAATATTATCCATATAATAATGAAGTTTCCGTAAGAGGTAAAAAGTCAGAAAATATTGGAAGTTCACCACATACTGGTTGGTTCTATATTGACTTACTCTTGAATTTTTCTTTTATGAAAGTTTAAGTAATTATTTTCTTCAAAAAAGATTGGGGCTTTTTAACATTGGTGTTGCAACAAGAAAATATTCAAGGTCTCCAGTTATTCCATGATGGTCAATGGTGGGATATCCCTAGTAAACCAGCAACAATCGTCGTTAATTGTGGAGACTATCTTTCTCTTCTTACGCGTGGAAAATATATTTCACCGTTGCACCGTGTGATAAGCGATGGGACAAATGAACGATACTCTACCGTTTTCTTTTATTATCCAGCTTATGAATCAAAAATTCCAATGATTGTACAATGCTCAAACGAACTAAGTATATTTAAGGATCAGGCAGATAAATCTGACACACATGATGAGAATGATAAAGAAAAGTTATTAGATATATGCTTTGGCGAGGTAACTGTTTATGAAATCTGCTTAATATATATTTTATTTCAGTCCTCATTAAGAATATAACATTTTATTTAGTATATTACTCGCAAGTGGGATCAAGTGTTTCGTTCAGGGAAACTATACTAAATATTATAAATATATAAGTATACATGTGAAATATATGTTTACTTTTTGTCTTTTTCGTTTTTGACGTAATAATTGTACTGGATGATCATCCATGTCAAAGTGAATGCTATAAAAATGTAATGTAAGAGAAACATGTTAGATATAAAAGTTATAAATTTCATGCGTCAAATTCGAAGAGACATAGATTTAAAATTGCGTCAGTGTAAAATGTCTTAATTTTAGAATTCACTTATTACACGGTAAGTTTTTGATGAAAGGAAATAATGCATAGGTCGACCAAGGAAAAAAATTGTTTTTTTTTATTCTACGAATATTACACTACTTTTCGTAATTGGACTAAAAATATCGATCGTTTTGGGTGCAAAGATGGAGTTATATGGTGTAATAAAAAAATATCCGAACTCAATCATCTAATGAGAATGTTGGCGTTGGATGTAAAAGTAAATGCCGCGATGGAAATACGTGTATGTTATATTATACAGTTATAATTCAATCAGTTGTTTGATCTTAAACATCTCAAATTTAAATCCGACACAACTCAGTTTTAAACCCACAACAATTCCAATTTGACGCATAAGTATAAGATATTGGGCGTACGATGAAAAATAACAAGGAATTTTTTTTTCATCGGAATTAATGTCACTCCCAT